TTAAGAGCTGCTTTGAGGATTGATTTTTCATTAAGATGAATCTGTTGTAATTAAGCCTAACAGAGATGTACGTGCTAATGCTGTGTTATTTATTGCCTGAATACAATGCTTTTTTTTAAAAAAAGCATGTGAAGTTTCTTTACCTTTCTTTCTTTTTCTTTCAGTCTTGTGCTATTTCTGCCTCTCCCTCTATAATATATGCTGGTGTGTCTTTTCTTCTTTCAGTGTCTGTTTTCTCTCAAGACCAATTTTTTTCTGTTGTGTTTAATTGTTTTTTCTCCTGATTTATTGTTCCAAGCCCATGCTAGGCAGTCTGTTTATTTATAATTTGGATTATTTTAAAATGGATCCAGAGCTCTAGGTCAGTATTTAAAAATTAACTAATAAAATACACAAATGAGGCCCAATGGTCAACATAAGATTACACATCCTCTAGGATTCGCATGCTACTCCAAATAAACCACTGGGGAATAGCACCCCCAGGCATGTAAAATTCACTAATCTGGACTGAAATGGGCTGGTATAGAAAATATATATGTGGACCTTTCACTGACAGCACTACTTCTTCTGAGGCTACTCTTCTTCTGGTAGAGCCAGCAGGTGTTAGTATGAGCCCTCGGGAGGAGTGACGGCGATGTTGGGGTATGGCACAGAAATGCTGGCCTCTGCCCAGCCCAGGACTCCACCTCCCAAGAACTGATCCTCTCATGCTAGGTGTTTTGGGAGGACACAGCTCAAAGGATAATAAGCATAACGTGCTCCACACAACACAGTTCAGGAGACCAGAAGGTCCCAAACTTCTGCTGCACCTTCCTCCTTCCACCACAGAGGCTGCAGGTTCCCATTGAAAAGGAACACCAGTGGGAGGCAGCATGTGCTGTTCTGCACAGGGACACAAACCCACCCGTCAGCTCCCCCTCAGTGTTTTGGCACTACCCTACGCGTGACAGTTACATCCCTCTCTTCACACTCCATTGCAAAACTTCTCCAGTAAACAAACAAGTGGTATCAGCCACTGTGCATATTTGGAGAGGTGGCTCTGGCTTGTGGAGGAGGACAGGCAGGAGCAGCAGACCTCGGGAGGGAGTGTGGTGTATGAACAGCCCCGCTGGCAGCAGGCTGAAGGGGCGGCCGTGCCGCAGCCCGGCTCAGCCGCTTGTGGTATGGCAGGGCAACGGGACCAAGCCAGCGCATCACCCGAAGCGAAGCCATCGGGGTGGTCAGCTGGCAGCCACAGCTACCACACCCACGCACCCCCCAGCAAGCGTGGTGTCCCGCGGCTGGTGCCATCAATGCTTTGAGGTCGATTGTCCCTGCATAAAGCCTGCGCGCAGGCTAGGGGGTGGCTTGAGGCAGCGGGGAGGAGGCGGTACCCTTGGTCATGCTCAGAGATGCCTCGCTGGCCAGGCCAAAGAGAAATGCATGACAGACCATAGGCTTTGACACGCTGGCTTGATAACTGGGCACATTTAGTTGGTTTGCATGAACACGTAAAGCAGTGACACGGGGTGGCCAGCGCAGTGTGTCCTGCTCACCTCCCTGCAGAGGTGGGGGCACATCTAGCAAAGGTAAGAAAACTTCTGGAGCTGCAGGAACTAAATCCACCTGCTCCATCAGTCAGAGCCCGGGCTTGCTGCTGCCCTGAAGACATACTGGTCTTTCATACTGGTGCACAGGGGGAACAAAATTCCCCCCCCCGGGCATGGCTGTATGGCTTCCCCAGACAGAGGTACAGCGGGTGTGCGGAGATGCTGATGCCAGACTCGGGAACCAGCGCCACTCCTGCTGCGAGCAGAAGGGTGTTTTAGCAGTTGCCCCAATGAAAACAAGATCAGGCTTTTTAGTGCGGTGTTAACAGCTATGTTAAAATCCTCACACTTTCCAACAAAAGAAAGGCCCTCAGAGAAACCCAAACAAACACTCGCACAAGCAACACTGGAAGTTGGCTTGAGTTACAAACACAGGAAATTAAATACAAAACCATGTTACAATAGCATTGAGGATCTGACTTAAAACAAGCCAGACAAGAGCATGCACTGCTCAGATTGCTGTATTTTTCCCTACCCCCTCTCCCAGGGGGATTGTCTCTATAAATACACACATGCATGTAAGTAGCGTATGTTTGTATACACATGTACATGCATGCATAATTCTACCACATTAAATAAACCAGTAGAATTAAAATAAGACAGTAGCCTTTCTCTGAACTGAGCTTGCCCAGTATACATGTACATGAAGGTGCTTTACCCAGGACTGCAAACATCGTATGTTATGGGGGAAAAAGTTTTTATTTGTTTGTTTGTTTGTTTGTTTGTTTGTTTCCTAAACTGGCATCCTTGCAAAGATTCAGTCTACAGCGCAATGTCACAACGAACGAAGGTACAACTGAGAGCAGTGCAAAGGTGAGAGCAAGGACAAGAAGGGAGGAGTTCCTTAAATAGGTTTTACTGCTGAAGAAAACACAACATTTAATCTGCAGCTTCAATTGCATTAGCAGAAGACACCTTTAGTCCAACAGAAATGCACACCAAGGGTTATGCCAGTACAGCAGCATTGCCTGGAAAAAAATGCTCTCCTGATGGACAAAGCTTTACCGGGATTTACAACTGGTCTCCTTGTGTGCCCTTCCATACCACAGCCAGCGTGCTGCCATCAGGTGATATTATGCGCCCTCTGCAGAAGCCTCTTCCCGCCTCCAATCACAGCCCCTCGCTGCTGGAGGGCAGTGGAAAGGGGAGGGCAGCCTCAGGTTAACATGTCTTGACTTGTCCCTTTCTTCAGGCAAAGCCCTTTCCCTTCGCTGCAAATCCCTATCTCGTGGCCTCAGTCCTAGGGTATGCACTTGTTTTTCTCCTTTTATCTTCAAAACACTCGCAAATGTATTTCAAATGAGAACTCTATTATGTTTTCCTTTCCTTTATTACACTTTGCTACAGTTTGTCAATACTGGCTACCGGTGTTATTTGAGGCCACACTTAAAAAAAAAAAAAAGGTCCTTCCTGAGCTCTGAACATTTATCTGAAGTTCTGCATAAGGTCACATGTCTCCTCCAGCAGAAGGTCTTGCAAAGTTAAACAAAGTCCCCTCGCTTGCTCTGTCTGAGTAAATACAGACCATATTGGAGTAAATAAACAGCCAGGCAGTGTCTCAGACAATGGGCCTTGGCGATGAATTAATAAACTCTGCCTCTTGCATTAGCAGAGTGTGACTGGAACTGGCAGGAGGCCCTGGCGGGACTCCAGAAACGATTATTACTAGACAGAGCCAAAGGAGACTTGGCACGGCGCGGAGCCCACAGCTGGAGATTAGGTAACGGAGTCAAAGCGCGCGCGGAGCTGCCAGGGCGTTGGTTACCCTGCCTGAGGAGAGGGTCAGGACTCTGTTTTTGTAGCTCGTATTCACGCAGGGTGCCTATCTCCAAAACTCACGCTGCTCCAGTTTGTAATCCATAGATTTATTCTGCAGGATCAAATTGCCATCCCAAACCGAGGCAGTCGACCAAAATGCCTGTCTGGTGAAACTACAGAGGATGAGCCTGCACCACCCCTGTCCTCTCCACCACCCAGAGACTCTGGTGTCCCTGGGTGAAACAGGGCCTGGTGGTACTGCAAAGGGGACAGCCAGGCCATGCAGCTGGGCAGTGCTATTTTGGGTGAGGGAGCAAGATTGCTTCTGTAAAGAAAAGCCTTATCTGGGCTTGTCTTCTGAGCTGGGTGTTGAATCCGGAGGCAGGAGGTCTGCTGAGGAAGGAAAGCCCTCCTCGTGGCTTGCACTGGGGGCGGGCTGACACCTGTGGGGAGCCACTGCCAAGCCAGCCTCTTCCTAAGCTGGATAGAAGTTGTCACTCAGAAGCATTAATGAAGGAGGTGTAAATAGGAAGGGACTGCTGGTAAAAGTCACCCCCCCAGTTCCCACATCCAAAGAAATACTGTCTGTGTTGCTTGGTGGACTGTGGTGCAGCAGCCCCTGACCTCTCTCCCAAACCAGAAGGACCATCACCTTGGAGCCTGGAAGCCCAGAAGCCATGCTGGATGAGCGTTGCAGCAACTTCAAGAAGCAGGTTTATCAGCTGGGCTACCTCCAGCGTGGATACCCTGCTGACACAGCTGTCCTGCTTCCAAGAACTGAGCTACTTTCTTCAGCCGGTGTTGTACTGGTTTATTTAGACCTATTTCTTGGATCTCTGACATGGGTCTGCTCATTGCCATGCACAGACATGCCTGCGTTTGCAACTCACATCCCCACAATAAGCTATAAACATGTTAGCAATGTCAGGTGGGCTTGGCACTTGTGCGCTAGAGTATAGGTGGAGGGGGAAGTGATACCTACTCCTGCTGTGAAGCATTTTGAGAAGTATGAATGAAAAACTCAAGCTTTTTCAGTGTCTGCTGAAGGGAGGCTGTATGCTAAACTACTCTCTTCTCATTCATACACGGTAAGAAGACTGTGGTCTGAACTCCGTCCCTGAGGGCCCCCACACCATTTTGATGGCCTGAACTGCACGAACATCTCTGTTTGGAGCCCATGCCTTTTGCATCTCAATGACTGCAACCCTGGAAATGAATAAGAGGAAGAAATCAGTCTTTCTTAGTGCCATTACCATGAATGGAACTACCTGGATTGCTTCAAAAACACACTTTACCAAAGATACGGCAGTCAGTAAAGTTAACAAAATGAAGGGAATTAAGTCTTTTATTTCACATATATGCTATAGTAAATGGCATTTCTTATCCTCATTTAGTGCTGAACCTGTCCTGGACTGAATGCCCCCAAAGAAAAACAATAATAGTTTCCAGCTCTGAATACTGCCTTTTGTCATCAGGTTTGAAAGCCCTTCACAAAGGAGAGGAATCTCATTTTCTGTGTTTTTCCACAGGGAGAAAGGGGGTCACGCAGGCATAGCCCGAGCCCCGCTCTGCTCAGTGCCCGCCTGCTGCCACGCCACCTCCTCCGGACGCCGCTGTGCCCTGGCCAGCCAGCCCCGCTCTGCAAAGGCCGAAATGCCGAATGCAACTTGTGTGGACTTGTCCTATAAGCATTCGTTATCTATGCATGAGACTGCAAACGTTCCCGGTGTGAGTAGCTGATGGTTGGGTCAAATGGAGGAGTCTTCCAGTTAATGCTGACCAGGGCTAAGGTAAAACTGACTCCGCAGCCCTTTGCTCACTCCCCAAGCTGCTTCTTCCTCAGCAAGCAAGTGGTTTTTTTCTTTCATAACAAAATTTGAAGCAAAGTATTGGTTTCCATTAGCCAAGGTGCAGATTTTGTTCTTCTCCTTAAATCACCTTCAGCTTGATGAGCGTGGGCACTCCTTGCTGGTGCCTCTAAACATTGCCTGGAGAGAAAACCTCTGCGGAAAGTGAAATTCAGAAGAGCTAATAAAACATTTTCTGAAGGGTTTGAATCTCTCATTCCAAAGAAAACAAAGAGGTCGGCTGACCTTTCAACCTGACCCTTTTCTTTTTTTTCTAAGGCATTAAGAAAAACATTCTGCAAACAATGAGTGCTCGTGGTAATTGTCCCTCCCCTGTGCCCCAGTTCTTGCCAAAAGCAACATTTCAATGGCTATGGGGGGTGGAGGTTGAAAGCAAATGAGTGAGCAAGCAAATGCTGGCTTTCACACATCAGTGGCTGGCTACGCCCAGACCACATTCAAGGAGGTTCAAGGTGAGGGAGTCAAGCTCTCAGGCTGTTCCTCACCGAGTTTTACAGTTGCAGGTATCTGAAATATTGCCGCCCAAGTATGGAAATCTGTGTCGGAAGCGTTCAGAAAGCCCAGTCAAAGGGTAAGAAAAAGGGTCACATAGTGGTAATGTGCAGTATAATTTAGATCAACATCTCTTCAATCGACTGTTGAATTCCACCTTCATGTCACATGCCACATCCACTCGTCCCTCAGCCTGTCACCGTCCTTCTAGTGTCAGGGAGAGGCCTGGTGTGAAAGCAATATTTCATGTAAGAAAAAAAGTGCTATTTTTATATGAGAAAAACCTTCTTGTACCATTTATCTCCATTGTTTTCCAGCACTAGGACCTGCAGTGGATCCTGCTGTGACATGTTTCCAGCTGCAAAAGGAATCAAAAGATTTAGGGTTGAGTTCCCTCCTGATTCTGGAACATGTTCCACTGTGCAATCTTTTGTAATATCTCTCTGCAATAAAAGCACTAATGCTCTCCAAGAGGCCTCCCCCTTTCACTTTCCTCATAAGAGGTGATGACAAGCTCCCAGCCCAATTGTCTACACACATCCTTAACTGCAGGGAGCCAGAGATTTAGCTACCTTTCCTGGTTCTGACACTAACCTGTATGCTGGTCCTGGGCAAATCGCTTAAGCTTTACCCAGCCCAGACAAAATTTTCGTAGAAATCCCTTCTTGCTAATACTGGAGCAGCAGTGTTAGCACTGCTGGGAGGTGGCTGCAGACAGAGGGGCTTTCAGCTGTCTTCAGGGCTCTGCTGCCAGAAAAGGAGACCTGCCTGTGCCAGGGCTCACCTTGCTAACTCTGGGGCAGCTGAATCAGTTTTGTAAAAGCACATTGGTACTGTCAAGGTCCTGCCTTTGAACGTGTTTCTCCAGCTGTAAAATGTGGATAGAAACACCGAGCCAGCTCTGTAAAGGTCTGCTGAGATTTAAGCTATGTTGGCATCCTCCTCCTCAGTGTCAGTAGAGCTGGCAGACACAAGGAGAGTGCAGGACGGTTTCTGCTTTTCTTTGAATCATACTGTAAAACCCTGCAACCCTGAGAACAGACCTCGTAATTCCCACCAAGCACACAAGTGGGTTTAGGTGCTCGTGTGGGAGGGAAGGAAGAGGTTCGGGAGGGTTAAGTAAACAGTGCATCCAGAATCTTTTTGTTACCCTCCAGATTTACTTCTCTTCTTCAGTAGGAGTTTGTACAGCAAAGTACAATTTTGTGGCTCTTCTTCAAGACCATTAACTCGATATAAAAATATCAGCACTGTTTTTATTATCTGAAAAAAAGAGCTCAGAGCTGAGTTTTTGCGAGCAATGCTCGGTTCATTAAACAATGACTCAGAGTAGGTTTTGTGGTGGAGGATTCAGCTTTTCCTTAGCGGTAGGATCAAGATGTCCTGTTTTCATGATAATCTACCTTTCATCTCTCTCACGCTGCAAAATTCATTTTTACCTTGATCCCCCACAAACCTCTTAGTTTCTCGCTTTTGTTATTGTAAATTATTTACTGTAGAAATGCTGAATCATGACACTGAGGTTAGAGAAAAATGCACTTGTATTTAAAATAAGAATTGTTCCCACATCTTCTGAAGATTCCTGGACTATTATTTTTGTGTGTCCTTATGTTTTACGGTTTAAAAAAGGTCAAGTGGCACTTGATTTGGCCCTCCTCAGAGAGGTCCAAACCTGGATCTTTTACCTCAGAGATGTTTAATTCTAGCAAACGATGCCTGCTAACGCTATGTGGGAAGAACTCTGCCTAGACAACGGAGAGCGGCATGGGCAGTCAGGGTGCTGGCTTCCCTCAGACTGTCCCAGAGTGTGTCCTCCTGCACCACTGCCAGCTGGTCTCCTTGAGGTCTGGGTGGCAGAGCACTGGTGGGTCCCGGGCTGCAGCTGCATGGGCTCACATTGTCCGTGAACAGGATGGTGTGCACCAGAAGAGAAGCAGGCTGCAATTCAGAGAAGCGCTCCAGAGTTTGTGTGAACACCTGAAGCTTATGTTAACAAGTTGGACTTGCTAAAAATGAGCTAGAAATCATCTGAAAAAAGATATTTGTAATTCCCAGTTTGTACTTGCCCAGAAACACAAGGAAAAGGAGCCAGAGCCCCAGCCTCAGCCCCAGGCATGCACAGCAGCCCGCCCAGCAGCCTGGAAACACAAGGACATCACAGCCTGGGCCTACAGCTTGGTTATTACCCAGCTGCAACCCCAGCTCAGTAGTGCAAGGGCCACCTCTCGCCCACGCTCCTCACCATAAGCTGTGTGTCAGTGGCTGAATCACATCTGCTGTAAGCGAAGACACACACTGGTTACCCATCATCTAGCGACAGGCAGCTACCCAGGCTCCCTCCATATGCAGTCACGAATTAAGCCAACTTGTTTGTGTGTCAGATGGCTGAAGTGAATGCGAAGGCTGAGATAGGGTGACCTGTAAGGGGATGCATGCAATACAGCAGCAAGTGGCTACTGGCAGTGGCTACGGGTCTGAGCCCAGTAGCCCTTTTTTCTCCATTTTTTATAGATTTTTATGAATACAAAAGATGAGACACAGCGGGGGGGGGGGGGGGGTAGGGGCAAATTCATCTTCAACTACAAGACTTAGTA